ACCCCATTAAAAAGTCACAAAGCATAAATCTCAAACTTCATAGCAAGTAACGTCGAAATTTCGAAAAATTGACTAAAATAAAGCGGAAATACAAACAGCCATGTTTAATCCCCTATAAAAATCATCTGGTACGTTATCACCACTGAAAACAAGCATTCATCCTCATCCGCATACTGACTCAAATAAATAATTAAAAAAAAAAAACGTAAAAATGCTCATTTCAACGCAATCTCGAAAATGCTTATTATTATCATTTTGTCAAACAGCAAGCAGCCAGCATTCAAGCCACGTATCCCGGTGCAGCATGAATGGTCCAGGAATAATCCCAGACTACGATCTGCATAACGTATGCTTTAAAATTGCGTAACTCACCGAGCCAGCCAGGCTCCGTGAGTCTAGCGCGCACAGTGCGTGCGTGCATTTACACGGCAGACGGGTACGGAAGTAGATACGTGAGCTCATAGTCAGCCAAATACGTGCGAGCGTTCTAGTTATTCTGGTTAACGAGAACCCATCTCGATCCGCTAACTGCAACAGCGACTCTACGACTGGCAGTCTGCTGCTCTGTTTGTCTCTTCTATTCGCATTGCCAGAATTTCCAGGCTGGGCTTTCTGTCTGTCTGGCGCCCTTATAACCTACACTACTAGGCTATTTCGGTAAACCAGTCCGTCCCAAGTCTGTCTCGTATAGCCGCACGTACTACCCACCCAGCGCGTACCGAGGAGTTTCCGTATGCAAGTGGGCTAATCATTCCCGATAGCTATAGCTATACACAGAGTTATAGGTATGTACAGTTAATTATGGGCTTTGTCAACTGTTATGGTCCATATTGATTCCACAGGCAATTACGATCCTACGGTTGGTCGTCTGCCGGGTGCCAATGTACACACTGTATACGGGGATGCTGAGGATGGACCGGATGAGTGGAAAAGGGGTTTGAGGGGGGTCGATGCACGTGTTAGGGGGGGTATAGGAAAGTTTCATTTATACAGTCGCATATGCTACGTCGTGATTTCTCCCCGTGACACGCGACGACTGACCACGTGTTTTCCTTTATGCCGATCGGCTTGAATGGCTGCTCGTTGCAGAAGCTTGCGAATTGCGTAATGCAGTTTGCGCCCGTCATTCGATCGCATCTCCCTCTGGCCCCTTTGCCGTAGACAACCGTCGCCGTTTGCGTGTAGCTCGTGTAATTATATCTTGCTACGCCCCTGAGTGCATTGACTGCACGGACGCAGGGCGCTACGGGCCAGACCGTCGTTGCGGACGCGCCTTGTTGGCTCGTGTACCTGGATTAGAATATCCGTTTGAAAATAATGAAGCTGCGTGGAAAATAATAAAAATTCGCAGAAATAAAGATTTTTTTGGAAAAATTATTTTCACGTTTTTTTTTTTTTTTTTTTTAGGACAATTTCGAATTTCACGTTCAACTCGTGTGCCAAATCTAATACGATTTGCTATATCTGTATATTTTATATACCTGGAAATTTACGAGGGCTCGCACTCCACCAGACTCCTCCATACGCTTTTATAGCTCGCCAGGAGTTTTCACAATTTTCTCGAGATCTTCTCGGAGACGCTTTTCCTTGGAGTTCATTGCTTTTCCGCACTCACAACATTTTATGACGGCCCATCGTACCATTTATCTGTACTTGCGCGTAAGTATGTATATATTGTATATTATGATACACGTAATCGATATATCCCTACTATAAGAAAATCTAGTATGTTAGGTGAAACACCCTATATATAATCATACAGGTGTATATATACCCCATGTATGTACTTGGGTACGGTGGAAATAAAAGAAGCCACGTAAATTGCCATTTTCCCGATTTTCATTCAGCTTCTTTCATTTCTTCATCCTTCAGAACCCCCGAGCCTCTTGGCATTATTTTTTTTGGGAGGAGACACAATGCGCGGTGTTTTAATGGCGATAAGCGATCAACGTCCCGACGCCCGACGTCGTCGCTGTATTTGTCGCTGGGAAACGCTTCTTGGTCCCATTGAAAAATTGCGGTGGTTTCTTTGAAAGTACGAAAAAAAAAGAAGAAAAAAAGTTGAACGAGAAAGAAATGTGGAAAATGAGGTAGAAAATCGTACAAGTTGCGAATAGGGCGCGTGCGTCCCACATCTGGCTGCTATTCGCGCGCTTAGGTCTCGTTTACAAGCGACTCTCGAAACTTTTCATATTAAATTTTCCTGGGAAAGATCTCAACGCATTTTCAACCTTGTTAGGAAGATTTTCTCATTCTCGCGGTGAACTCGTATGGGGTACTGTGTGCAATAAAGTATATGCCTTTTATAGCATGGAGATATATATCTGTATATAGTGTATATACTCGAGTCCACACTGTACGCATATACCTGTATATATAACTAGAGCGAAGAATTGCGGAATGACGAGAAAAACCTTTCGCCATAGATTGTGTAGGTAGTTTTCTATTGTTCGACCCGCATTATATTCCGCTTGCTGAAACGCGTCAGTTTACGTTTCGTATGCTGGAAAAAAAAAAAATATTTCGGAAAACGAGAACCTCTGGTGCATGTAACAAAAACCGTGCGGACATACATACGTATATACGTACATTACTTCAGAAAGTCATATTAGCCGACGGACAGTATCGTGCTGCAAAATGAAATCAGCAGAGTTGAGCGCTGTGACGTCATCGGCTTTATCATTTTTCTTTAAGGTTTTCTCGAGCGTCCTACGTTTGTTTACGTCTGCTTAACTCCGACTCCGTTGTCTTTGTTTAATGTTGCGTACAGGTATTCTCTTCCTGGCTCTTTCATTTTCTTCCCTTTCATTAGCATTTGCTTTACTTACCCGTTCCATTTTTTCTCTCCCTTTCACCCTCGTTAGAGCCACTCCTGTCGCGGAACGCGGGTCACGGGTCATACACAGGTCACAGGGCGCAGTGCTTGCTCCATGAGAAAGGAAAACATTCAACTTTGATATGCTTGTTAGCTCTGGAAAATACATTCTGGTAATGGTAACAGCAATGTTTACGGATTTGATTTGACATTTTTGATTGTCTGAAAAGTAAATCGGAGCTTTGTCATGGTTTGGCACATTGGTACGTTGTCACGGGACTTGGCACCGTTGCCAAATTGCTGTGTCTTTTCTCGATTTACCTGATCCGTTCTCGGTGCTGCAATTTGTAAGAACGTATTACAATCTTACTGGCCGGAGCTATTTATAGTTCCGTGAAAAGTCGCCATGGTTCGAGCGTCGTGCCGGTAGATGTCGACAGTGGCGCCCTCCCGTGCGGCGACGACGCGAGTAAACAGTAAATCGTCGTGAAATTTATGAACGTCGTCGGGTACGCTCAAACTTTTAACGCTTTTCATGAAAAGTTCGAAGCTCCGGCAGGATACTGGTTTCCGTGAAAAAAAGGAGAAGTACCAAGTCACAAAGCATCCTAGCTGCATAAGCGTAATTGAAACTTTAATGGATGCCGATGCGGCTGGCTTGGAACGTCAAGGGAAAAAACTAGGGAACTCGTGTTGTGCCGGGTGGAGCGTGGAAAGGAGCGCGGAGGGAATTAGGGGATAAAGGATAAGAGTGAGTGAGTGAGTGAGAGAGAAGAAGAATCGAGTGCGAGAAGGACAGAGGAAAAAGCCTGAGGCAAACGGAAAAATATTGCTCTGTGCAGTGCACAATGGGCCGTTGCAGCTGTCGTGTATATTTCAATCGGTGTTTAGTACGTAGTATTTATCAAGTGAATGTGGCTGCAGATTATTTTTGGCCTAGGGACTTTGCCTCGACTCTACCTGTGCTGTCACATTTTATACCCGGTTGTGAGTCCACTATTCTAATACAAAAATTCTCCCTGACTTGTCAGTCTCTCTAACCTCGAAAACAATGCCGCTTCTGTGCACGCGAGTGACTGTGGATTCGTTACGAAAAACAAATGACAAATCGGGACGTACCAACGGCTGCGTACGTTTGTCTACGAAGCAGTGTGGGATAGTGCGTGAAGTTGCCAAGAGAATATAAAGCGATGAGTGCTGAGGGACGTGGAGAGAAAATGAAGAGGGAGAGTCAGACCGCAATCATGATAAACGAAGACAACAAGGACTTCCTGTAAGCCTACAAGGTGGACGTCCTATGGCCCGCCTGTATACGGGGTGTCAAGAAAGTAACTTTCAGTTTAAATTCTTATTATCATTCCAACGTCATAAACGACGGCACTCCCGGTTTTGACTTTTATCGAACTTCCGTCAATACAATTTCGCCCTCTGTTGCTTTTCTCTCCGCGACTAGCCTTAGCATCTTTTTCTTCACTTTTTCATTCTCACTTACCGGCTGTTGCTTGACTATCTCTTACTTCATCTTCAGTCGCGATCTTCTCTCACCTTTCCTTCTTTTCATCTGTCCCTTTTATTTCCCAACTCGTCACAGACTAAAGAGTAAAGGCTGAAGTTATATCGAGAGCGAGAAGACTCCCAATCGGATTACGTTCGTCATTACAACTTTTCCGTTTTTCCATTCCCACGGAGTTCGCGTAATTTTCCTTCTCTCTTTTCTTCCTTCCTCTCTCCTTCATCCCATTAACATACTTTCTCGCTCATACCTCTGGATACGGATTCCGCTGGACCCAGAAATTATATCGTTAGCTACTTCAGGCTGGATTTCTTTATTCGTTTCTTTATTCGTCCTTTTTCTTCGTCTCCCTTCTTCGTATCTCGCTTGTTTTTCTCGAGCAACTTTCTTTCTGGCACACTGAATATTCCAAAAAATTTTTTATATCTTTACATTGAAATTTTACGTAAATCCCTAAGTAATCCTGTAAGTCCGTTACGCGATCTGAGTAACAAAAATTAAAATTTCACCTTCTGACTTTATTATCAGCTCAAGAGTAACACGCTTCAATTTCTTACTCCCGTTTACATTCTTCAATCTTATCGTCTCACCGATTCTCTCGCTTTACTCGAGCTGACTCGAACATACTATCTTTACAGTCAACCTGCCTCTTATCGTTATCTATACCTACAGGGATGGCGCAGGGAGCCTGAACCAAAAAAAAAAGATGTACCCCCGAACCATCGAGCCTAACAAAGTGAGTTTGCAGCCGGTGGATGAAAAGAGAAAAATAAAAAGAAATAACGGCTGAACAGGATAAACCGAAGGATATAAGATGCAGAAGAAGGAGACTCAGGAATGACAAAAGTAAAGGGCGAAACAGTTGGCACGGATCCCACTGGGATGCTGCGTACCGCAAGGGAGCAGGTAATCTTTGCGATTCTTGTAATCCACCTGATCTTTCCTCATCGGCTGTAATCATTGTAATCTCCTTGCGAAATAAAGGGCACGAAGGCTACTGCAGGGACTGACGCTCATTTCGCGGGTAAATCGAGAAATCCAAATTCACCGGCGGCCAAAAGGGAAATTTCAAGAAAAAGAAAATACAGCAATGCCGACGACCGTCGCGCTATTAGATTCCCTGATTGGCGCGCGGATCTGCACGTGCGTGTTTCAGAGTGTGTGAGTGCCGATTCTTGAAATGAGAATGCTTTCTTTTTTTTTTTATATTCTTTTTTTTTCCCCATTTCTTTTTCATCCTTTATTTTGTTTTCTCACTCTCTTCCTCACTCTACAGCCTCGTCGTGTCTTTTTTCTCTGTTCCCTCATCAATGGCACCCTTCGACCATTCTTCTCGAAGAAAAGAGCCACCGTAAACGAAATCCATAGGTCGATGTGAGAAATTGAAGCTAAGGACAGGAAAACTCAATCGTTGCTGATATAATTGATCCTCGAGGAAACTCTGTGAAATCCACGAAGACTGTTTCGCCTTTCGAACGTTTCAATTCAACGTTTCTTATATGTACGTATACGTGCAAGGCCAGGTACATTGCTCCTTTCTTTTTTTTTTACTCTACCTTTGTCATATCTATATCTATTTCTTGTCTTGCGACCTGCTGCTTCCTTTTTATTCTACCTCCTGTCTTGGATTCGCCTGGAACTTGCCTCGGCGACGGCGAACGCGAACTGTCACGAAGGATCCACAGGTCGTCGGTTAACGTTTTCTCGGGTTGAACAAATTTACTCGATTTCTCACGTTATATTCATCATTTTTAGGAACTCTTCGTCGCGGACGAGGAACGGGGATCACGTGGCAAAAATTAGGTATAAGGAACTTTTACGTAATTTGTGCTGCCGATCCTTTTCGATTTTCTTATCGAGTCAAATTCAAGATATATGACTGGGCTGTACCTTACGGACTTTTTTGACTTATGTAATACCTTACGTCATTTTCATTTCGAGATATCAACGCAAATGAACCATTTTCATTTGCGTTTTTTTTTTTTCCATTTATTATTGTGATCTGTAAATTCATTTTTTTCTCTCACAATTCGAATTTTACCTATTCGCCATAACTGCTAGATTTGTCTGACGAAACTGGAACGTCTCTGCTGCGTGGTTAAACTCTCTTTTCACTTTTTTTTTCTATCTCTTTTCTTTTTTCATATCACGTCACATCGGGATTTCTTTGAAATCGTCCAGGGAACTAAAACGAAGCGTCGTCGCGTGGCTCAATTGAAATCTCTTGGGGGGACCTTTGACTTTTGACAGAAAGAAAAATAAGGGATATGAAACCTTAGTGTTCGCCTCGCATTGATATCTTACGTAACGTTATATTATTATTCTGGATACTCGCCTGCGAGCAACGAGTATCGATCGATGTTTTTATTGAAAAACATTCATCCACGCGTCCTTATTTAAAAGCCACACCTTTTGTCTGTCGTAACACAGAAATGGCTGACCTCCAATTTTATTCGTGTTTAATCTACTTAATGCTCTTTAGTTGTCATATATATCAGACGGGTTTACTTGTACTATATACATATATATATATATATATCCTTTTCTATAATAATCTTCACTGAATTTCATTCTGTTCGAACCTCCTCTATTCGTTCTCTCGCTCGCACTCGCACTATATCTCTATCCAGTTTCTCTCTGCGATTTATTCGGTCGCCCCATAGCACTGTATATGGTATAATTTCGATAAAATGCTATTGAATAGCAACGTTTGAGTGAATGAGGGGAATAAAGATTTTACAAAAATTTTTATTCAGGGTAAAGGATTATCCGATAGGGAGTATCAGTGTAAAGATAAGGTCCTTAAAAGGCACTGAAATAAAAAATATAATTTTTACAGGACGAAGGACCATGCGGAATTATATATATATATATATATATATATATATATATATATAACCATTGAAATCCTTCTGTTAGATACCCAAGCGACAGTTAAAGACGATTAAAGAGAGGAAGGATTAGTAAGGGATGATCGAGGATCAGGAAGATGCTGCGGACGGCTGGGAAGGTTTCCTGAAATATTGGTAAAATCGACAGACGAAGTCTCTTACTTGGCTTCTTATGGGAGCCGGGGATAAGTTCGGCAAAAAGGACATTAGCGGGATTGTCGGTTGAGCAAGGGGAGTTTGATGAACCCTGGGATGGTCCAGGTTCATCTCCGTTCAATCCAGCATCCCTCGCACGGGAACCACGAGCAATCTCATCGCTGATTCATTCGGCCACGTATAAACACTTATGGTCTAATTACTTAGAATGCAATCAGATTGACTTCCGGTTACGACTTGGCTGGGTCTATTAAAGCTCGATTTGTGGAAAATCTTGATACCGTATATCGTGCGATGCTCGATTAACCTAATTAGCTATTGATTGATCGGCAGGTATTTATAACATGGAAATGAACACATTAACGAGGAGAGTAACTCGATATAGATAGATAGATAGATCACTAGTTGCGTTTTATTAATTTATTCGAAATCATAACAGCCCCTCGCGGTCACGTGGTATGCATACGTCATTTTTTAGTGCAGAATACAAATCGACGGATTATTCAATTACGAGAAATCGTATATATATTGAAAAGAAAATTTTCTTCTAGGATACGAAATATCCCTAGAAAAAATTTTCTAGTTACTTTAAAAAATACATATCGTTGTCGTAGGAGATAATTATAAAAGACATATCTTTCTGTTAAGAGATATGTTTTGCATGACCATAGGATAATTTTGATGTTACGAATATATTCTGATGAAATACCTTTTATTTACTGAATCTAAATTTAAAAATGTTACCTTCTCGATTTTATTTATCTATCTGTCGGCGCGTGATAACGAATCATAGAAAAATCTTGATAAATGAAAATTTTGCTTTCGTAGCTAAGCTAATAACGCGGAGCTTATTTTCCTTTCGTACTGAAGTCGTATTTCGAAAATTTGCTAATTTTATTTTTTAGGTAAGATTAACAGTGTTTCCTTATCGCTGAAAATTCGTTAGGTAATCATCACAGCAGTACGACAGAAATTTTTAGATTTCTCTTAAAAGTATATACAGCAACGGTCAAAAGTTTTGGCACGTTCGACCAACATTGCACTGTGCCGATACTTTTGACCAGCACTGTACATGCTTTACAGATTTATCCAATTGCATAAACAATAAATACTCAATGAAAAAAGCTGTACCAACTATGTAATATTTTTGTACGATTAATAATTGTTTTTTCAAGTGTGTTTCAAACTCCGTAAAAAATTTACTTAAGAAAGTATATGGCGAAAGAACGTTTCGTAACGAGCGGCCATATTGAATTAATTGTTCGTTAAGATACAAGAAAACCGTCTCTCGGGATTTTCAGTACCAAAAGGTATATCGAGAGGAGCGAGCTTAATAAGAATTAAATAATTTTCTTCTTTCCCCTTATACAAAATTTTGCTTAAAAAACTTTCATTTTCGCCTTACCATGCATTTTTACCTCTCACGTCTGACCATTAACGATACTTTCTACTGTCTGACCGAAGTAGCAAAAGATACTTGTCTCAGATCCAACGCAATTCCCGACAGCTTTTTCCTCGGATAATTACAGATCCGCCGACAGCCAAGACTTTCCGGTTCTTCATGAAATCTTCGACAGTGACGTCAGATTGAAGCTCAAACTATTTTATAGGTACTGTTTGGAACTTGTATCTCCCTCTCTCTCGTTCTCCCACACTTTACCTATTTCACTATTAGATTTCATCTTCCTCTAGTTTTCCTGATCTTCATCCTTCTTGCATGAAATACACTTTGCCAGCGGTATACCTCCTTCTAGGTGCACCTACGTTTTCTCTGGTAGACATATATGTATGTCCTTTATATACGTATATAACAGCTGGCTCTCTGGATTATCGGCACATGCGCTCTTCGCAGCGAAGAAGCGGATAGCCGTCGGCGTGTCAAAACCATTGCTCTTCAGTCGCCACTAGTACGGCGTGGTTCGCCTTGAGAACCAACGGGAAACCGACGGAAATCGACGGGACGCGGACACGTTTCTTACTCGATTGAAAAATTTCGCGAAAAGCAACAGATCGGCCGATTTGCCCAACAATACGAAAACTATATGCGGACGGTTAGTGAGATTCGAGAGTATTGACGTTTGGTTTTGACTTTGTAAACAAAGAAAAGCAGGGACAGCGTACACGGTGGCTCTGATGATTTTGGAGTCTATGGTTCGAGTGCTGGGCGTAGAGCTTCTCTTTTTCGTGACATTGTTATTACGGTTACTCTATATAGCTACTTGCTGCTTCGTACGGCTAAGTGGCAAGTTCTCATGAAGTGCATGACGCTTGTCGCTCGACCTATGACACGGTGACACGTGAGGGGTTAAGCGTGTGATAAGTGTTGTGAAATTAAAGGATTTAGGATTATTTTGGGGTAAATCAACCTGTTGGCTAGGAGGGTTGTGGGAGTTTGAGAAGATTTACGAAAACTCGTTCGATGGCTTAATTAAAGTTTTAAGGAGCTTGTAAGGGAATCAAGGTCGAATTATAAGGGGATATTTATCTATATGTATAGCGGGAAATTTTTTTTTCGAAAAAAAATTATATTTTTTTTTTCAATCGACAAGGCTTCTTAAGCATATTGAACGGCGATTGATCAAAAATTTGAGTGGCAAAAAAGACGTTTTTGCGAACGCGACGAAATATTTTACTCGAACTTTTTTTTCTTCTAATTTTCAAAAATTTCCTCGGAATTTCTATCGGACGCGATTACAAAACTTTCACCCTCTTTTTCTTAAGTTCGACCCTGTCCTCTTTCATCGCTCGTTTACTCTGTCCTCTTCTTACTTCGAATTTTCACATCTTTTCTCTTTGTCTTTCTCATTATACTCTTTCGCCCAGTTTTACGCGGGGGCGCGTGCCACCTTTTAATTTTGATACGTCGCCCGACACCTTTCGACCCCCACTTTCCACCCCCCCCCCCCCCCCC